ATGCTATGGATTCCCTTACCCCTCTAGGGTCGTGGACCTGGCCACCTGCTGCCGACAAGATAAATGTGCATACAAATGACATGGAAATGGACGAGACCTGTGGATGACCCACCCCTATTCCCACATCCCCTGGGCTTGAGTTACTCAACCTGTGCTCTTCCCCCCTCAGCTGCTGCTGGGCCTCTGGGAGCAGGTCCTGCCCACCCAAAGCCAAAATCCATATTTCCCCAATAAGTGCCTATGGCCAGATCCTTTCTCTGTGAGGGCTACCCCCACATCTGGGGCCACAGCCAGAGCTGATCCAGGCTAGTGGCCATGGCGGCACCTCCTTTGGGTGTGAATTTGAATATATACATACTCATGCATTTGCACACACAGTCACACACGAATGCACATATTTGCCATACCTGGACCCGTGTGCACACCTACAACTATTCACACATATCTGCAAGTGTGCATACACACACACACACCTGTGTGCACACACATATGCATATGCACATTCCATAGATGTACACACACACAAATTCAGCTATACTGTGAAAGTATCACACATCCTCACAAAGAAATAAACTTACAAACCTCTAGTCATACCCTCTCCTGCCTTTATCCACACCATGCTCACAGTCCTGGGTGCAAGGCCTTACCCACCTGTGCGCACACACACGGCTACCGAAGGGTGGTCTATACCCATGCTCTCTCCAGGGCTGAAGCATTGAGGACAGGCTGTAGATGGACACAGAACCCACAGAGATGTCAGATTCCTCCAGGACGCTTCTTGGATTGTCCCTTTGCAGGGCCCCTAGGATGGAAGAGCCCTCTGTCAGTCTGTGGGCTCCACACTCCAAGTCATACTCTGACTGAGTCATACACTCTCTCCTGAGGAGCCTCCCATACTGAGATCTGGTCCTTGTTCATAGTCCTTGGGTCTGGCATGCCCAGGCAGGCCTGCCTGCCCAAGAAAGCTGCCTTGTACCCAGCTAGGCCTACCCGGATCCTGCCTCCTTCCACCTGATCTGCCTGAGCCCTCAACGAGAACCAGGCCAACTTCTATAGTTGCTGAGGAGTCTGAGGACAGAGAGGGCCAGAAGTTTGCCTGCGGTCACCCAGTATGTCAAGGCGGGGTGCAGATTCGAACCCGGGCTTCCAGGAGTATGACCGTGGTTAACAGTGACAGGATAAATGCATGTCAGGCACCAGACAGGCTTATGGAAGTAAGACAGGTGGGCATGGGGGATGAAAGCAGATGTGGGGTCTACTGGGTGTCTGCTGGTGCCACTCTGTCACCTGGAGAGATGGCGAACAGGAAGTCTGCTCTCCCAGCCTGGATGAGGAAGTGCTTTGTGAGCACCGTGGCCCACAGGAGTGTCATTATTATTGGGAACAACAGAGGGCTGGTTTCTGGACAGGGCCTGAGGTCTGGTAGGCCTGGTACCCAGGTTGACAGGCTGTCAGCTGACTCACCTTTTCCTAAAATACTCAGTAGCTGGGCCACTGGGCAGTTATAGCGGCCGGTAAGGTGGGGAGACAAAAGGAAGTGTCTAGAGGGGCTGGGCCAGGCATTCCTGGGGCTGGGTTTTCTTGTGGCAGAGATGGGCAGAGGGTTCAGGGACTGGGAGCATAGGACCCTCAGTCACTGCATCGTTGGGGACAAAAGGAGAGGTAGGAAAATCTGTTCTTCTCACATGCCTTTCCTCAAGATAAGGAGCATGAATTTAGGACACAGATTGGAGCCAGATGGTCTGAGTTTGAATTTTGGCTCCATTACTTACTAGCTGTGTGACTGTGGACAAATTACTTGGTCTCTCTGTGCCTCAGTTTTCCATACGTATAAAATGTGGCTAATAATAGATCCAACTTTATACTGTTGTTGAGAAGGTGAAATGTGAGGCACATAGTAAGGGCTCAATACATGTTAAAGCCCCTCGGACACAGAGGCCTCCAGCTCCAGATATACACACTCAGCCTTTTAGGGGCCAGCTGTGACCGTCGATTCCACGGGACTGATGTCAGCCAGGAGCAAGATACATCTAATCCTGGCAGCAAATTAGAATCACCTGGGAACATTTAAAATGATCTGGGATGGGGGAGTCCCAGGCATGAGCAAGGGTGAGAACCTAACATAGAATCACAGAACATAGACCTGGAAGACAGGGACCTATAGGGGAGCGGAGGAGCCCTAGCTTTGGAGGAAGGGTCACTTCCTGGCAAGGAGCGTTTGCGCATGGCCTGTCATTTTGGCATCTCAAGGAGCCTTGACTGCCTCTTCTGGGAGGGGGCTGGATGGAGAATTTCAAGGATCACATCGGGGGGATGTTTTTGAAAGAATCTCTGTATCCTGCCAAACATCGAAAGAAAAAAATGTTTGTTTATTGAATCTAGTGTATTAACATTTCACAGATGGGAAAAATGAGGTCCAGAGATGTTCAGTGTCCTGCTCAGAATCACACAGCAAGTCTGTGGCAGAGTTAGGACTGAAACCCTTGGAGGAATGGTTGAATCTGAAGGATGGATGCAAAATGAATCTCTCTGAGTTGAGGGAGACGTAGAGCATGTCCCTGGGGCTCCAGCCACTGAGCTGCAGTGTAAGATAACCAAGTAAGATTTAAGAAATAACTTGTCATGAGGTGAGTGCTGTGGAGGTCCTGCTTAGAGCTGAGAGCCCAAGAGATGGTGGCTATGCCAGGCCAGGGTTGGCTCTTGACTGCAGGGTGTGAGATGTCTTCAGAACAAATAGGTCTGGCCAGTGGCCTTAACAGACAGCTCCTGGGTACCTGTGTCCCATCCAGGCGATAATAGCCCGGGATTGACAGGTACTCAGGATTTGCCAAGAGATTTGTGCTCTGGGCTCAGACTCGGTGCTTCGAATAGCCCTTACATCGGTCACCCCCCTTTATAGAGCAGGAAACTGAGGCCAAAAAAGGAAGGGAGGCCCTTTTCTGGGTCAGCACCTTTACACCATCTTAGCCCACGTAGTTTTCTACAGTGCTAAAAAGTAGGCCACATTGCCTCTAATTTGAAGGTGAAGTAAAATACATCAACTGGGCCTGGATCACTTAGTGACAGAAAAGCTTCCCACTCCTCCCCATGTCCCCAGACATGATTCCCAGGAAAAACTCAAGAAGGGGACCCAGAGGACTAAGGTAGCATCAAGGGAAGGTCTCCTAGAGGAGGTGTCCACCTAAATGATAAACAGGTGGACAGGATCTGGTGGGCATTGGGGTAGGGTGGCATGGGTAAAGATCTGGAGGTGAGAATGAGTCAGTCACTCATCTGCATAGAGGAGGAAGTATAAATTTAAGAAATGGTGGTGAGAGGGTCAAAGCTGGGTAAATAAATCAGGGCTAAGTTATAGAGGGTCTGCCATGTCAGCCTGAGGATTTGGGCTTTATTGTGTTTGTGGTAGGGAGTCTTTAAAGGTGTCTGAGCAGAGGCAGAAGCACGTGCAGAGCTGCGGCTCGGAAACAGAGGTGGGAGAAATCCGGGTTTGGAGGGCCTCCTCCTGAGCTGATGGCACAGCCAGGGCTCCGCCCAGCCTGTGTGCCAGGTGCCTGGACTGTGTCCAGGACTGGGCTCAGTGACTCAACGTTGAGGAAATCACTCCCCAGGGAGAAAGGGCCCAGATGAATCAGCCCAGTGAGGGGAGGCTGGGGGCTCACTGAGTCACCCTCCAAGTGGGGAAGGGGGGTGTTGCAGAGAAAGGGGCCAGCAGTGCAGCGGTCAGGATTCAGGTCAGTCCACAGCAAGGGCTGTCGGGAGACTGGCTGACTTCCCACCATTGTCGGGGTTGACTGTCCTGGCAGTCTTGTGAAAGAGATGGGATAACTGAGGCCCACAAACGGGAGGGAATCTGACCAAGGTCAAGCAGCAAGTCGCCGGCAAAGGCATGGCATGATCCAAAGCGCACCCTCTAGTCCAGACACGTCCTACCACCCCAGCGGATCTCATGCTAAATGGAGGCGAGGAACTAGTGGGTCCAGGCAGGGAGCTGGCCCAGGTGATCCTTCCTCCCTCTGCCCGCCCCCATTTCCGTCGCCCCGCAGATGGCAAATAGGCCCAGGCGGCGCTGCCGCGAAAGGACAGCAGGGGGCGTAGAAGCGTCACGGCTGCCGCAGGCGCCTGAGCACAGAGGCCGCGCTGCGGTGAACTGCGCTCCGGACGCGCGGGTCCCACCGCCGAACTGTGAACTGTGTGGCCCTGGGGCCTGCACCATCTCCGGCTTCCGGGGACGCCAACGCAGACCTGCCCGTCCGGTGCTGGGGGCCCGGCGCCCCTACCCCGCACTCAGGAGTGGTGCGCCTGCCCGTGTGTGCGCTCGTGTGTCCGTGCGCACGTGTCCCCTGCACAGATTGGCTATTGCCCCCCAGGCCTGTCCGTCGCTGGGCGACCTCTAAAATTCTCCCCGACTTCCCCATTTCTCCTGAAGAGTCAGCCCGCGGCTCCTGGCATCGGGTCAGCGGCCCCTAGCCCCCTAGCCCCCGCCTCTCCGCCCCTCCCGTCACTGCGCTGGTCCCTGGCTTGGAGCTCTGGCCGGGCCCCAGGACTTTCTAAGTGGGGGAAGAGGATGTGATCTGAAGAGAGAGGTTCTGAGAGACGAGGTAGCGACAGTAGGGGCGAGGGGCCAGAGAAGGGAGCGGAGGCTGAGAACCGGCTACCTGGTGGGCGATCCTAATAGCGGACAAGCTGGAAGAGTCTTGAGAGCAGAGAGAGAAGGGAGGTGAGAGCTGGGGTGGGGGGGCCCAGGGGGGTCCGCACGTCCGACTAGCCGAGACGGCCAGCGCGCCCCGCCAGGTCACATCCTCGTCCCGGACGGGGAGAGGCGTGGGGGGCGGGGAGTGGGCGGGCCGGGGCGGGGCCGGGGCGGACCCTCGCGCGGACCCGGCGGAGCTGTCGCGGACGCGCTGACCGAGCGCAGCTGCCGGGCCGGCGGGCGGGCGGGCGGCTGCGAGCATGGTCCTGGTGTTGCACCACATCCTCATCGCTGTTGTCCAATTCCTCAGGCGGGGCCAGCAGGTCTTCCTCAAGCCGGACGAGCCGCCGCCGCCGCCGCCGCAGCCATGCGCCGACAGCCTGCAGGTAGGGGGGCCCCCAGCACTGGGCACGAGGAGGACGGGGTGCCGGGCGAGCGCCTGGCTGGGTCCTCCACGGAGAGTGCAGGCGCCGGCTCCGTGGTCCACTCTGCCCCTGAACCCTCCTCAAGGTGGGGCCCCCTCCCCTAGCTCTGAATTCCACTCCTGTGCTGGGACTGCAGCCCATACCCGGAGCCCTTGAATCCCCAGCTCACAGTTGAAACCTCACCCCAGACTCTGATCCCCTTTCGGATCTGGGACTCCACTCCAAGCACTGAACTCCCAATAGGGAGTTCACAGAAGGACCCCAGCCGGGCGCCAGTCCCCACCGAGAGCTCTTTAAACCTGGAACCCCTTGCCTCCCAGATCAACGGATGACCCCTGCCCCAATCCCCAAACACCCACTATATATATATTTCAGACTCCGGGTACACCCATAACACCTGAACCCTCAGCTTTCAGCCAGGACTCCCCCTCAGTGCTGGAGCCTCACCCCAAGCCCTGAACCTCTACTCCACAGCCTCATCTGTGCCCCCATCCAGATTCCCACTCCAGCATCTGGACTTTGATCCTCACCTGGGACCCTACCCCAGGGTCAAAACACAGCTTTTCCTCATAGCTTGTCTCCTTCTCTGCAGGACCCCCTCCCACCTGCCTCCTGCTTTCCTTCCCTCCCTCCCTTCTGTATAGGAGGTCCCCTAGTCTCTTAGGGGTCTCACCCTCTCCTCTTGTTTCTCTCCAGGTGTGGTAGTCCCACTTTATTCTCTGGTTTCTCCCCTGGCTTCTCCGAGTCCTTCTGGGCCTCCTCTCTCTCTGCCCCTCCATATCTCTTTCTTGGTCCCCTCTGCCCTGTTCATCTTTCTCAGTTTGTCCCCTCTATTTCTCTAGGTCTCTGTCTTTGTTCTAGGGTCTCACTCTGTGATCATCCCCTCCCCCTATATCTGCCTCTGCTTTCCAGTGAGGAAGGGGCAGGCTCAGAGTGCTGGGCTGGTGTCTGCAGGACCTCCACTTGCCCCATGTTGTCAGGCATGGCATGGTGTGGGCGCTCGTAGAAGGGGCTAAACATGGAGGGTACAGCCTTTGGGTGGTGCCCAGGGATCTAAGGTGGGTGGGGATTGTGCAGTGGCACTGGGGTTCATAACTTGTAAACCCCCCATCCCCACTGTCCTGGTCTTGACTGGGAGCAGCTGGGGGTGTGGGATTGGAGAGAGGGGAGTAGACTGCAATCTGGTGTCAGTTACCTGTGGTGGGAGGGTTCCAGGACTGGGTGAGTCTGAGATGTATGTATTTGTGTAGGATGGCCCACGTTGCATGTGTTGGGTGTGCCTTGTGTGTGATCATGTGTGATGTGTCATGTAATATTGTGTGTGGCACCACCAGGGGGATTATTTGGGGGGGGGTTGTGGGGGCTTATGGTGAGTGTGAAGATTGTGAGTGTGTGTCATTGCATGCCGTGCATGGCTAGGATGGTTGCGTTGTGAGTGTGGAGTGGTGCCGTGTGCATGAGTGTTGTATGTGTAGGGGACATGTGTGTATGTGGTGTGTCTGTCTCCGTGGGGTGGAGTTTATGTAGGGGCAGCCTGCCTGGGGGATTGTGTGTGTGGTTGCGTATGTTATTGGCTCTTGTGTGTATCCCAGAAGAGCCACTGTGGGGGCCTGATGAAGGGGTTTCATTGGACGTCGTGGTGGAGGGGAGTGGGGGTGGGGGAGTTGTGTGTGCCCGAGTGTGTTTGCAGCCTAGGTGGCTTAGACTCTCTGTGGTACATCCTAGGCTTGCTTGGGAAATGTATTAGGACCTGTGTGTTGGTGTTTGAGCATCATATGTCCGTGTGATGGCTGTTTGTGCAACTCTGGGTAGGGGAGAGTGCAGCAGCCAGGGCCGAGGAGTCCCAGGCAAGGGGCTGGTTGACGAAGTGTGTGTGTGTGTGTGTGTGTGTGTGTGTGTGTGTGCGCCCACATGCACATGGGGGGGAGGAGGCAATGTGCAGGCAGGATTGTGTATGCCGAGGGGCTGTGTGTGGCCACAAACATGTGACATTAGGCGTGCACATTATCTATGCAGGGTGTGTCTCGTCTAGATGGTGTGCGTGTTGAATTTAATTGGACGTGTGTGTGTGCCTGTGGTTGGGGAGGTGAGTGTGGGGTGTGTGAGGTACATGGTGGGAGGTTGAGTGTGAGTGTGGTGTGAGGTGTGGGTGTGTGAGCTGTGTGACTTTTCAGTGTGACGCGTGGATTATGTGATCTTTTCTCCCTGTGAGCTGTTTATGTGTGGTGTGTGGTGAGGAGTGTGGAAAGGGTGTCCAGTGAGCTAGCGATGTGTGTGTGGGGTGAGGCAGTGTTAAGGGCTGTGGAATGTGCTGCAGGGGGTAAGGAAGTGTGTGCACACGGTGTGTGGGGTGAGGGACGAGGCAGTCAATGTTTGGGGCATGGGGGATACAGCAGGTGTCCCATAAATGTTCGTGGAAGGGTGTGCGTGTGTGTGCAGGGAGGGCTTGGCTGCCATCTTGTCCTTGCTCCCCTCCCAGTTAGGTCCCCAGAGATGCCCAGTGACGTCCTCTCATGGCCCACCCCAAGCTAAGCTGCCTCTACCCTTTGCCCTTCATCCTCCTCACTTTGACCAAGGCCTTTGTCTTGGGTTTCCGGCTGAGCAGGCGCTGGACAGGCAGGCGGCGGGTGATGTTGTGGTCTGGGAACCTTTGTTCTTTTCCTCTTGGTCTGTGTCGTGTTTTGGGCTGGGATATGAGGAGGGCGGGGAGAGGATGCACGTGTTGCAGGGTCACTGTGTTTACTACCACCTCACAATGCTCCACAGCAGGGAGGGGTTCAGGCACAGGCCGTGAGGCCCGGGTGGCATCCCCAGTGGTGCCTTCTTGGCTCAAGAGCAGGCTTGAGGGGCGCCTGAGTGGCTCTGTCGGTTAAGAATCTGACTTTGACTCAGGTCGTGATCTCACAGTTCGTGGGTTAAAGCCCTGCGTCGGGCTCTGGGCTGACAGCTCGGAGCCTGGAGCCTGCTTCTGATTCTATGTGTGTCTCTCTCTCTGCCCCTCCCCTGCTTGCACTCTGTCTCTGTCTCTCTCTCTCAAAAATAAATAAACATTAAAAAAATAATAAAAAAATAAAAAAAGAGCGGGCTTGGGCCAGGAATGGTTTCTGGGTGAGTTTGCCACCATGAGGGATTAGTCCCATGGGTGGCCCAGTACCCCTTCTGGCTCATGTGTCTCCAGGATGCTGAGCAGTCAGGGGCCCTCTTCTGCCTGCCAGCCTGTCCCTCTTCCCTTCTCTGTGTGGCCCTCAGGGAGTGTCCCTACTGGGCTGGGGGTCAACCAGGAAGGCCTCAATGTGTCTCCTTTTGTTGACCTCCCATCTGACAGGAGGAAGAGTCCCTGCCCTCAGAGAGACCCTTATCTGAGAAAGGAAGCTTGGTGACACTTTGGGGACTCTCTAGTCTGATAGGGGAGATGCCAGTCAGGAGGAGGACCCAGGTCATACCCTCCAGAGAAAGCAATGGGGAAACCTTAGTGGGCAGCCTGCTGACAGGTATGGATGAAAGGCCAGGGCTCCTGGCAGTTAGAAGGCACAGAGACTACCAGAGTCAGTCAGGGGAGGTGGCTGGGGGCAGCGCCCCAGCATCACCCTCCAAAAGGCTCTCTGTGGTGAGTGGGCTTAATAAGCTGGGCCTTGATGGGGGTGTTGAGTAGGCAGAGAAATGTGGCCTGGGGCCGAGGAAGATTCTCAACTGGAAAATTCAACTGGAAAAACACATCTTGACCGCATTTGATCCTTCCCAAGCAATACTGTCTAGCCTTGGATGGCCATCCCTGGGCCTCCAGCCTTCTCGAGCTTTCACATCACCTCTTCCCTTCCCCTTGTCTTTGGCCAGAATGATCGTCATCGTCATCATCATCTTTTAGGCAGCTCTTTCCAGATTCCAACCTCCTTTCACAGAAGTCTCATCTAACAGATTGACTCATTCACTTGTCTAAAGCATCTATTGTGCACCTGCTACACACTAGGCAGGCACTTAAGTGCTGGGGTCACAGCAGTGACCAAACAGGCTTCCTGGGGCTCCTGTGTCCTTTGCCTGAGAAAACCCATCTTCCCAGCTCGGCCACACTGTCGGCCCCTTAGGCCCTGGGCACATGACCCTCCCTCCTGTGTTACCCTGGCCTGATGTACACTTGATTCTGTGAGGCTCCAGGTGTGCACCCCATGGTGTTGGGCTCACCGGAATGCGAGCTCTTCAGAAGCTGGGCCAGGTCTGCCCATCCCGCGTGTCCTGAGCTGGGCTCAGCACAGTCCAGATGGCCACATGGATCATCAGATGTCCATATACCCTTGTGGGGTTGGCAGCCCATGTGCCGTCCAGAAAAACCGAGGCCCAGAGCAGGGAGGGGATTTGGGGAAGTCTCCTTCTTAGACCCTCCTATTGCCAGTGTTCTCAGAGACCAGAGAGGTCGGGTGATTTGTCCAGGTTTCACAGCAAGGTGACAGAACACAGCAATTTTCTATTTCCCAGAAAGCAGCTCTACTGGTCAGCAGGCTGGACTCCAGCCCCAGCACCATGCAGCTCCCTGGCTGGCCTCCGTGCTGCCTGTGGCGGGTGAACGATTATTAATGACCCCCCTGGCAAGGAGACAGGAAACGTTTCCCAGCCACAGCTGGGGACATGCTCCCTGCCAGCCCCAGCCATCCATACCCACCCCGGCCCTGGTGTCAGCACGGATGTTATCTCCATTCTGCCCCAGCCTTCCTCGCTCCTCCTGCCCATCCGCCTCCCGCATCCTTTTCCTCTCAGGGCTAAAGGACAAGAAGAGACAGAGCTTTCTGAACAACATCTCTGTCTCACCACTTTCTCCAACTTGATTCATCTCCACCTTCTTCCCTGCCCCAGACCAGCCAGAAGCAGCCCCTCCTCCTGGAAGCCTTCTCTGAATGCACCTGTAGGCCCTCCAGCAACCCTGGCCTGGACCCTGGCTGCTTCATCTCCCTCACTGCAGACTTCGCTCC